CAAGAGGGAGCCTAGATCCAGAGGGTGCGTAGGAAGGTAGAATCTCCGCTGAGTAGTATCCAATCTGTCTGGGCAGGGCTGATGAAAGGAATTGCGGGTAGCACTCATGTGATACAATAGTGAATAATTACTATCAGGACTGACTGTGAGGGTTGGAAATGTAAGGGTAGATGTTTTGAAGCAAAAGGAGGGGAGTGGTTAACTTTGCAGTCCAGGAGCAGAGGTTTCTGGGACCATCAAGGGAGAAGAGTGGAGAACAGGACCCTACCCAAAGAAACAGTGACCCCAGAGATGGAGGCACAGACACTGATGTGGAGAGATAGAGTGGCTGAGGACTCTAGACCCAGAGAAGTAGAGGGGCTGTGTGCTGACCACCTGGTGGCAGGCTTACAGGGTATACCCTTTGGTTGGTTGATGATGCATGAAGGGGATTGTAACCATGCAATGAAATGATATATGATAGGATGAATGTAAAGCTAATGTTCTCCCATGTAAACTATCACATAATTCACAATAAAACATTTTTAAAAAGATTTAAGCTGTAATATAAAATAAAAATGAATTAGATGTGTAAAAAAAAAAATAATAATGGCTCTCACTAGCTCATTTTTCATTCTTATCCCCACCCCCATCCCTGAACTCATTGTGTGCCTAGAATCTAGAGCTTTCTGTTGGATCTTTTAATACATAGAGTGATCCTAGGGCTCCAGCCCTCTGGCTGGGTTCCCTTCAACCTCAGCTTCTCTACTGAATACCAGTTCCTGGGCAAATGCTGGTCTTTGTTTACCCTGATCTTGCAGTTCATTATGTAGGGCAGACAAGTTGCTGTCTCAGCAGTGGACCCATTGGGCCTCCCAACACTGTGCCTAATTGTATTCCCTGTTCTCTGCTACCAGATGCAGTAAATTACATTTGCTCCCAGCTCCCCGACCTGCCAATCCTCTGTTCACGAACAGCAGAACCACCATCATCTGGGCAGGACGGGACCAGCAAAGTGGCTGGTAAGTCCTGGGGAGCTATTTGGTTTTAAAGCCAGGACTGGCCATGGGGCTTGCTTTTCTCTGAGCTTTATTACTGAGATGGATATCCAGAAATCCTTACATAGGATGACCCTTTCCTGCAACCCACACAGGGCAGACACTGACCCCTAATGAATAATTAGAACCAAATGGGAAGGGTAGTGAGGAAGTAAGAGAATTTTAAATTGGTTCATCCTGGTTTGATCCCCCCTGCTAAGACTGCCTTTCCACCCCAGATATACTGCATCAGAATCTACATTTTAACAAGATTTCCCAGGTGATTCTTATGTATGTAGAAGAATATATAATCAGAAGAATACATTCTTGACTATACATAGAACCATAGGATTTTTATCTATATGTAAGGATCATAAGATTATCTATACATCAGAATAGTTTGTATATACACAAGAATACATTCTTAAGTATACATAAGAATCCTAAGATTCTTATCTATACAGAAGGATCAAAGATTCCTATGTACACATTTACTGCTCTTATATGCTGTGGAGTTCATGCCAACTTATAGCTAGCATCCCTGTATAGGATTTCTGAAGCTGTACATTTTTATGAGAGCAGAAAGCCTCATCTTTCTTCCACAGAGCAGCTGGTGGATTGGAACTGCTCATCTTCCTATTAGCAGTCCAATGCTAACCCACTAGGCTACAAGGGCTCCTTTATATATATATACATAAGAATAGTTTATACATACATTAGAACAACCTGGAGATCTTGTTAAAATATAGATTGTGAAGCTGTCTATCTGGGATGGAAAAGATCATTCTTAGCAGAGTGGAACTGGAATGGACTGATTGAAGCCCTAGATATAGAGTTGTTCTTGTTAAGTGCCGTCGAGTTGGTTCCGACCCATAGTGACCCTGAACAGGGTTTCTGAGGCTGTAAATCTTTACGGGAGCAGAAAGTCTCATCGTTCTTCCACAGAGCAGCTGGTAGTTTCGAACTGCTGACCTTGTGGTTCACAGCCTGATTCGTAACCACTACACTACCAGAGTTCCTTAGATAAAGAGTATTGGCCCATAATATCAAGGTAGTCTGTCTCTCATGTTCGTGGTCATGATTTCTGTTTTTATTCTCAAAGTTAATCTGTACTCTCCCTCTGGGGATTTTTGTGTTTTATATTGAAATTGTGCAAAATCTGAAGAGCTATTCTTGAAGATAGGTGGAAAGTAGTTTCAAGGCTATGAGTGTGTTGCTGGAACCCTGTGGGAATAGAACTGCTTGTATATTATGCACATAGAGTTCCCAGACTTCACATTTCCGGAGTTATTTCTTAACTACTTTGTTTGTTGGGAGGAGGAGAAGTAGCAATTTAAAGAACATATGTTTTTTGTTAATGTATCTCATAATTATGGATTTTAGAAAATGATACATTTAAGAGTATGGAGTATATATAGAGATAATCTTGCCCTTTTTATTATGAATGCTCCCAAGAAGTCAGAACTGACAGGAAGTGAACAATTAATCTCTATTCTAGCCCTCTTCCTTTGAAGAAATGCACTATGGGCCAGAGGGTTAAATTAAAAAATGAATTGCCAAAGATCACAGATAGTGGTAATGTAGAATTCAAATATGAACATCAAATTATACTTACATACCCTAGGTAGGTTTATGTTTTAAGTAAATCACATAATGATATCTCATAAAATTGACTTTTGAACTAGAAGAAAATGTTTATATATAAGCCAACTATAATAGTTTATGAAGCAAATGGTTTTTTCTTCAGTATAAAATTAATGTGAAAGTAAAAAGCAAGTATTAGTACAATTGTCATGTATAGTAGCTAAATATCTACTGGTTATCTGAAACATCCTGATACATTTGTTTTTCATATAGACTCAGAGTTCTGCAGCTGGGTGGGACCTTGAGTCAAACCTGGGAAAGGTGCAAGATTACAGTGACAGTGGACAGGTATAATACAGATAAACCGGAACCTTCAGCCTGCAGTTATGCTATCAAGGAATCACTGGAAGTAACTTAAACTGTATAATTTGTCTAAGTGCTCCAAGTTACGCTGATGAAATTGTCTTGGGTAATAGGTGTCCAAAAGTCCTGATACTATAAAAGGTTTGGGCATTGATAGGTTGTGATAGTTATGGGTAAACAGCTTCCTAGACGCTACCCACAAGTTCCTATACCTCATGATCTAACACCCATCAAATGGATCAACTAATGGAAGGGGTCGGTACAGTGTCTTAGGACTAATTTGAAGAGATAGAAAAAGGATTTAAGCAGCTTGGTGTTGCATTGCAGGATAATGCGCTGGTGTTCAAGGTTAATTTGAACTGCAAGGTTTGTGGTTCAAATCCACCAGCCACTCCTCGGAAATCCTGTACACAGTCGCTATGGGTCAGAACTGAGTTGATGACACTTTACAATAATCAAGAAATGTAAAGTTCAAGAGTAATATGTAAATGCTATGCAGGAACACAGGTATGATTACAACCAGATTTGAAGATACAGGAAGATTACCAATGAGATCTGTTCCATCACTAAATGTGTCTGAAATTTCAAGAATCATATGTAAATTTGAGTTGAAACCGGTACATGCAGTTCTTATTTAGCCCTACATTAGTGCATGAAAAGGCTTGAAGCCTTTTTTAATGAGTTGAAAACTGCACAGACAGCAAGTGAGGGTGATTGTAAAGAAGAATTTGCTATGAGTAGAGGCTCCTGCCAGGAGCTCTGGTAGCTTAGTGGTTATGAGTTGGGCTGCTAATCTCATGGTCAGCAGTTCAAAACTACCAGTGATTCTGCAGGAGAAAGATGAGGCTTTCTGCTTCTGTAAAGATTTACAGCCTCAGAAACCCTATAACACTCACCACGAGTCGGAACAGACTCCACTCCACGGCACATGACGCGTAATCACCACCACCAGGAGTTCCCTCAGTAATTTCAAAGTGAGGGCAAATTTACATAACATTTAAAGGCCAAGAGTATAGTATAATCATTAGAATGGTGCAGGACCAGCAACAGTTTCCTCCTGTCCTGCATAGATAGGGTTGCTATGAGTTGGAACTGACTGGATGCCACGTAACAAGTTGTCCATAATTTCATAACCCAGAGACTTACTATACTACAAAGGTATACTATTCCAAATATCAAATGCATTTTAAAAAATTATTCAGTAGTCAGTCTTTTAAATCTAAGTTTATATGTACCTTATGTGTTCCTTTGTTTATCAGATGAAAACTAATTTGCTAAAATGCATCTACTATGGAAACACACATAAGCAAAGTTCTGGAAGGAATTGCATCTTATATAGTTAACTCCTTTTGTAGAGGTGGCTGGGTTTTTTTTGTTTTTTTTTGGTTTTTTAACAGAGTGTTCAGATTCACAGTCAAAGTTAACAATGAATAGTGTGTATAGATACCAAGTAATGACATGCACCACAGGAATTCTTAGAATACATCTTGCTTTATGAAGTCACTTTTGGATTTTGTCCAACTTTAAGAACATTTTATGATTGTTGTTTGTCAAGAATCAGTATTATGACACATACTCTGGTTGGTTGAGATTTAGTAATTGACTTCATGTCATTACCTTTAAGAGTTATTTTTAGGTGCCATCGAGTCAGTTCTGACTCATAGTGACCTATGTGCAACAGAACAAAACACTGCCTAGTCCTGCACCAACCTCACAATTGTTGCTACACTTGAGCCCATTGCTGAAGATGTCAGTTCCAATCCTTTTCCAAAATCAAGTTCCTGCTACAGCGGTCCTGGAAGGAGGTCCTACAACAATGGCTCCCATTCCTTTGTAATGGGAGCTTAATCTTTCTCAGGTGAGAAAGATTCTGAGTATTGCAAAGTTCTTTCTCTGATGAAATTATCATTTGACTGCCTTTATCTTACATCCAGTGGCCCTTATTCTACTCCCTAGAATCACTGAGAACAAACATACTACTTCTACAAGATTTCCCTTCAGGTATTTGAAAATAACTATCACATTCTGTCTTTCTGGGATCCCCTCTATATCCACTTCGCCCCCGTAGCCTGTTTATCTAGCTTGTCCTAATGAGATTACTTTGAGACACCTTCCACCATCCCTCTTCTCTGGACATTCCCCACTTTGTCTCTAGGCTCTCTCAAATGCATTGCCTACAGCTGTCCAAGGCACTCTGATGGCTGTCAACCCACACAGTGGAGTGTGCTGCTGCACATCATGTAACTGACTTCCCTGGTACCATGGTCTTTTCGTTTTAGTTTTTTTTAAAACCCCAATGCCATTTTTCCATGTACTGCTGCTGAACTTCATTTTCTTTATCTAATAATGAATGCTTCCAAATCAGTTCCAAATTGAAATGTGCAGACCTCAGTGGTCTGTGATCCAGTTTACCCCAAACACGTGCCTTCTCTTGCTCATACACAGAAAAGCCTATGAAGTTCTTTCTTAATTTTAAAAGACAAAAATAAGCATGAACTCTGTGCCCTTCTGCTCTTTATAGATTGGATATGTCTCCATTAAATTTCTTTTGGTTAGATTGTCTCTCATGAGTGTTGGAAGTTCCATGGAACCTTATATGGACCACAGGAAAATGGGAAAGGGGATGTTACAGTGGGACTTGGTAGTCAAGCCTTGGTTTTCACTCCCACTTCAAACATAACAGCATTCCCATCCTTGTCTTCACATGTACTGCTGTATCAAATTTCATTTAGATAAAGAATAGTTTTGAAAGTAGAAAACTCTGCCTTTTATTGTTGGGGTCTTCGTAGCTCATGATTTTGGTACCTCCAACTCTCACTTTACTTCTTTGTTTAGTGTTACCGCAAATCCACAAAGCATGCTTTTTGTTGTTGTTGTTGTTGTTCAGCATTATCTTCACAAAAATATTGCACCATTGGAACCAAAGTCAGTGCCCTGTGGCACAGCAATAGCTATCTCTTGGCCCTTGGCAACACTAAATCAGCCCTATGGGACATGGTCGTTCAACCACGTACTAGCAGTTACCCTAATAGCTAAGG